TGCAGGCTCTGAACCACCACAAGTTATGAACTACAGTGTGACAATAGTTCTTCAGATAGTATTCCAGGCAAGTTCTTATCTGGGTCTTATACATAAAAAAATTCTTCCTAGTTTTCAAGCAACTATTGCAATCTTCATCTAAAACAAAACTTAAAGAGCTGATTTAGATCACATTCATTTTTGGGGGTTGTCAAATCTTCGCTCTTGTGTTGGAAGAAATATATTTGAATTTCGGAAACTGAAGAAGATATCTTATAAAACCTCTATATTATAATCAATATCATTTGACCTATATTTCATGGTATACTGTCACCGCCAGAGGAAGTCAGTCAGAAGTAGTGTCACATTCTGAAAACAGAGTGTGAAAAACTTATCACAACCCAGTTTTGATGCGAAATTGTGCGTGTGAATCTTGAAGGACAAGTTTCGACAATTCTCAATCATAGAAACAAGTGAAAACACTCAGAATATACTTTGGAAAGACAAATTGTTGATATTTCGTCAAAATAAAATTTTTTTAAGATACATTAACAGTCTGACAAAACAATGTTTCAAAATCTGTAGTTTTGATCAAGTTTTTACTTCAAAGCCGTAAGTACTCTCTCAAGTGGATCACAGATACTCTTAATAAAACTATTTTATAATATGGTCGAGTAGTTAATTCTGTTATCATATTATAAAATATTTATATCTAACAACATGGAAACATTATTTCCTTAACGTATAAAGCACATTCTTAATATTAATCACTTCATCAACTATGACAAATTTGCATGCCTGGCAACAATATGTGTAGGTATGTGATTGAGATGCGGTAAAATATAATACACATAAGCTAAATGATAACGACAAACTGGTGCAAATATATTCACTAAACAAAAACAAAGCGTTTCTACCATATAAACACATACTAAAATCAGATCTATATAGGGGTTTAAACCGCGTGCTTTGAAAGTAATAATAATGTTAATAGTAATAATTTTGACGAAGTTTAAAGGATTTTTCACTGAATACTTGATTGTAAAATTTTTGTAATTCCCGTAATCTTTTTGAAAATTCCGGTAAATTATTTATTTTGGTAGAAAGTATTAATTAGGTAATGTTAAGATGGGCTTAGGTTAACCTTTTTGTTATTAATGGACTTAACATATTTTAGCAGTAGTTAAAAAGATTATATTTGGACTTGACATGATGCTAAGTCCATTAAATATGTGCTAACCGGTCTTGACATATCGAGGAAAACTAAATAAAATAAAAGTAAAGCATTTTTTGCAAGAAATCATATATTTTGTGAACTACAAATAGTATTCCTATCTACAAATATTTACAAATATCATTAAATTCAACTTAAAAACGTACTCTATGAACTGTATAAAAACGACTACATTATACAAGAAAAATGTACATACTTTAAACTAATTAAAAAAATGAATACGAGACTAATTATTTATTACTCAGTCTGACAATTTGTATGATTTAAGTTGGTGTAAAAATCATGAAATCTGCGAAGAACCCATTGCAACAGTTTTGGAAGTGTTGATATTTCTTTGTTGAAATTGGTTTGGGCCTCTGTCTAATAGGGCTTAAAAATTCTGGAACCCCAACTGATCGATGGTTTTTTCATTTAAGTCCACTGTGAAAAAAGTTTCTTGTTCAAAATTTGTTTTGTAGAACAAAATGCCTGAATTTACTTTTATAACCTGTAGGTGTACGGTATTTGAAAGAAGAAAGTCTGACCCTTCCACAATTTTTTTATGGGACAAAAGGCGCTGCTGAACCTTCAAATAGTACTTTAAAATTCATGAAATCGTCTGTTGTCATTTCAATGGCATTACATTTCATTTTCGAGTCACATATGCGGATAAGCTGTTGCCAGTCCCAAGTTGTTATTATTTTAAACTGACTGAATTTCTTTCTTTAGCTTTCAATAATCACTGTCAGCCTTTAAGCGAGTATGTCCTCGTACAAGAAATGTATGGTTAATATTCCTAGTTTTAACATCCAGAAGTAGGACATGACAACAAGTATGTTCCGGTTCTGAGAAGGGCAGTTATCAAACCAAAGGGTGAGGATTTCTATATCTTCTGAAATATTCGTTTGTACCCACTTTACTAGGCAGGAAGCAACCCCGTTACCTCGTAGACCTGAAATAGTCTCGTCCCACATTAAGCAATTAGCATTTTCTTCCGTAGCATCATGAATTGTAAGATTGCATATCCAAGGTTTTAAGCAATAAAAGATTTGTGAGTTATGTATATCAGGTGTTGGAAGGCATTTCTGGAGATTTACCATAGTTATCTTTTCAGACCGTCTGTTATTTCGCTATTTTTCTTTATGTTCCTTTTTTCTTCTATACCTAGAACCTATAGAATCTTTAAGGTGAGACTCGTATTGGTTTTGAATTGCTTGTTCAATGCCTGCACAATGAGCTTCCTGCAGCAGCAGATTAAAGTTGTCGCAAATATCGCAAGTGTCGGTATCGGGATTTTTGAAAGCATAATGAAACTCAAAATTAAACGTTTCAGTATACAACCACTCTTTGGATATCTTGTCTGCCGGCATAGTCGACTCAAGGCATTCTTCTAAATAAAGATTGTACATGCGAGAGATATCTAAGAGATTCCCTAGATATTTTCTCTTACTTTTTTCACGGCTATGATGTGATTCGTGAGCTGGGAATTTTGATGTGAGTCTTACGCCATTTCTAACATCTTCATTTATTTTATTTTCCAGTATATGTCTTCCCCTTTTGTCTGGGGTTAAAACTCCGCCATCCTTTTTTTAAGAATTGCAGTATCAACAGTTTGGTGAGAAATATCTAATGTATCTAGGAAAAATAATATAGGGACATGAACATTCAGATTATCAACTTCAAATAAAAATATTGGTTCATATGCTTTCTCTGGCCTGATTTTGTACCTGTCCGTTCTCGAATTCTTTTTATCTGCATTTGTTCAACGTATGAAGCGGTAAATTGCACTCTCGCTTCGAAAGTATTGTTACCACTCCAAAATTTTTCATTAATATGTAGACGTTTTTGTGGTGGAATATTAGTTTTGGAAGCATATCTGCTCTTATCAACATATGTACTTTTTTCATTATCTTGATTGCGATAATTGCCGCCAACTATCTCTGGTTGAAACTTTTGCCAGAGAAACAATAATTTTTTTCTTCTTCGAGATATTATATTATAATTTTGGGGTCGGACTTAGCTTGTAATTTCAAAAGCATACTTGAAAACTATAATAGCTACCGAAACACCGAAAATATCATCGTATTCTTCGAATTGAACAAAGTCGCGCTCATAGCTCATTTTTTGAAAAAATGGACTTAGCATAGTCTCGCTCTGGGGTACAGAGTTGGGTATGCAGTATCTTAGTCAGCACATATCCCTCAAAACTTGTAGAATATGAGGAAAATTGGGATCGGAATATAGATAATAATTGCATAGCACGATTCCACCTTTTGATATTTCCTTACACCTATATTGGCAATGCAAGAGTCACTGAGTGCTGAAATTCACCAGAGACATGCTAGTGCAAAATGCTATTTATACGCTGGTGAAAGAAAGGGAGGGAAAAACCATTGGATGACTCTTCTTTCTGAGATAGTCTAAAAAATGATTTTGAGTTGAAGTACTTTCAAACTGTAGAAATATCTTCAACTTACATAACCCATTTAGATGCATAAATGCACACTCCAGGTGGTTTCGAGAAAATGCTTGGGTTTATGAAATAAACAATTAGCGAAGAAAATAAAGAATTCTTAGCAACGATATGAAACTATGCTGAAATAAAACTATCATAAAATAAATTCGAGAACTGAAAATTACAAACTATCATTATTTGATCTTATATGGCAGGTTAGATAATGAGAAGTAATTCCTAACCTTAAAGAGGTCCTTCGCAACATTCACAATAACGAGACATGTGAGTTCCTAACTTCCACAAGAACAAACAACATCTCCATAAAGCTCCTTCGTCCCTTAGAGCTTTACGCTCTGGTCATAGAGGCTACATAATCCAGCTCATCGAAGTCAAGAGCAAGGACAATATCTCCTAGGTCTAATATTTTTAACGCAAGCGGTTTTTTTCTCAGTCAGATGGGGTGGATCATCGGCAAGAGGCAACTCTCTAAAAAGTGTACCTACCCTCAAAACTTTCTGAATAGCGAACAGTAGCAGAGTTTTTCGAGGTGGGGAGAGCATTATGAATGCGAAAATTTTGAAATCCATAAAATAGCTTTTAGATCACCCCAAGGTTTGTTTCTGTATACCTACTTTACAACTCTCTGGACATTTTCACGGGATCTAACGTATTTGTGGGAGAAGTTACAATTTTTAGAGATTTCGAGAATTTGCTTCTATCGTTCCTGATTGCTTCAAATTGGGGCATATTCAAAAACATTATGTATCTCTAACATTTTGTTTCTTTAGCAAGGCTTATCTTGACTGATGTGAAATTTGACAATAGTCATAGGTGAATGCTTGGGAAGGACAGGATCAAAGATGATTGATAGTCAAGTTACCTCATAGAAGTCCTAAGATGTTTTAATTACTGAACTTCAAAAAGCGCCTTTCAGCTGTTGCAGTTGTAATCTAGAGGGTTAAAAATAGGAAGCATGCTACTGTTGCCTAGCCGTACAATTGAGAAATTGTAATTTAAATTTAAAAACTTTTGATCAGAGAAAAATTCAAAAAATCTTAGCTATCGAAGTCAAGAGCAAAGACGATATGTCGGTATACCTACTTCCCACTATAATTTTAACAAAGACTACTACGAGTACGGAATCTGAGAATGCGCACTTCAAATCTGTAATATTTGACTCTGGATCTTTGTCAGTTTGTACCTACACCGTTTTATGGGTTTAGTTGCGAATGCGAGGCCCAAACTAAGGTCATCCCATAGGATATTTATTGTATAATATCTAATAATATAATAGTGATCGTCTTTATTAGAGGCGCAGTTGTGTATAAAATTTAAATTATATCAGTTTTACAGAATTTACATTCAAAGAATTACATTGGAAAGTTGAATTGAAAAATATTGTCAAGTAAAAGGTTGGAAAGCAACTAATTCAAGTAAAACGAATACCTCTTGTGTGAGTATAACTCCTATATGTTTTTTAGTCATTGTTTCTTCTGAGACAGCCAAAAAATATGTTGAAATGAAACCAATAAATTGTATAATATACCTATTTTCTCTTCTCTTTCATATTCTCAAATCTTTTGGCTATGAGTCTACGGATATCGATGTGCTTCGTTTTTATCGACCATCAACAAAGAATAAACAGCAAAGGCTTTTTTTCCAAATATTTGAAACATGTACTCACCTAAAGAAAGAACCAAACACAAAACCTAACCTAATATCACAGTAGTTTCACTTGCCAAAAAATCCGAAGCAGCACGAAAATAGCAAAAAGTACGTTTTAGTGCGGTTGGTCAGTGTCGCTCCGTCCGTTCGCGCGTCTGCATCGGCGAAATAAATCACAAATCAAGTAGGCCGCGGCGACATAAACAAACGAACGTGCATGGTCGACTTGATAGTTGAATGGGAAACGCCGCGACGGACATGCTGTATAAATACGCTTAGCATATATGGATGACTTGAGATACAGACGCCGCGCCGCCAGATCTGCCAAAATGCGACATCCAAATCAAACCCCCACGTCCTCCCGCGTGGAAAGCGCCATTCATTAATCCAGTAAAAGCGCGCCAAAAAGAAACTGTGCTTTAGCGACGATATTCGCTCAAGCATGTCTCATTCAGTCTCATATGGAACATGTGTATTTGTCCAAGACAGCTGTGGGAAACTACCCTCCAACTTTGGTGTACAAGCAACTGGCAGCTTACTGGGTAAATTGCGATAACAAAATTTTAGTAACCTTGGTGTCACACTTTGTCCAGATACCGTCAAGCATGTAGGAGCCACTAGTATTGAAGAAATAATTTGCAAGGTCAATATTTCAGCAAGACATTTGCCAGGCTTTACGTGAGTTAGATATCATGTCATACTCAACCTAAAAGGTAGAGCATCTTACATGGAAAAGATTCAATCAGTAACAGATATAAGGCACTAAGGACAACGTGAAGAAAGTTCGACCTCCAACGAAAATTTGATTCAGTTTCTATCCAAGAAAGACAACTTGATAGTGGTTATTGGCTCCACACAGCTGGTATTTAAATTGATGTGAAACTATATCAGAATGTTAAACCTAGTGGCCAGAATGAGGCAGAGGAAAATCATAATTGTAACTTCGAGGATGCCCAGTAACAAGATTTAAGAGTTCCTGAACAGAGGACGTGTGTGTTTTGAGAATTATTAGGCTACCTCTCAATCTTCCATCATTATCGTTACCAGTGCCAAAGTAGGCTCCTTTCAACCGTAGCTCCGGCTGTGAAAAGAAGGCCGTTTTGGAGGTTACCGTCTCTTTAGGTGCCCTGTGAGTCGCATCAAATACGAACAGCTTAGTCGAAGCAAGAGAGCTCATGACATCATACCAGACCTGATGTGGACCTTGTAATGTAGATGAGAAGAAATTAGCAGCATCTTCCTAAAATCTACTGTGACTGAGGTACTGGTGCCAAATCGTCAGTGGTCCGACGTCCGATAAGCTTAAACGGATGGATTTTGAACAAGGCTCAGCAATGAAATCAAAAGGTATTGATGGCTGGAGAAATGATGTCTATTGCGTGGCCACCTTTTTTTGAAGGAGAAGTTACTTGCAGGAAGTACACTAAAAGATTGGAAGAACAAATCTTACCAAAATAGCTCACATAGAAGCAAAAGCCACTATTCCCGATATACCTAGATAGTTGTAAAAGCTACAGTGAGTTGATGAACAAGTCATTATGGCTACAACGGACACATACCACACGTTGGATTAGTAGAACATGCATGTATTAGTCAGAATGACCTATGGAACCAAAACTAAATGACAGCTCTGTGCTGGACTTGTATTTCAAAGCAGATAAGCCTATTTCTCGAATTTGAGAAATGCGACTTTTAGCCTCTTCTAAACATGATCCCAAGAGGTGATGAACCAGTACTGTTAAAAAATAGGTATCACCTTATAGATTCAAAACGCGAGGTTTGATCTTTCCCAAATATCAGCGGTACTGTTAGAAGTAGAATTAGAATTAGGTTTGTTACATGTTTGCTCCTCCTAGAAAAAAGCTGTCTACAGAGATGTGTACCATATAACTTATACCAGATCAAGTCAGTTATACGGGTCCATACAAATAGTCCATAGAAATGTTTCCCTACCCTACCGACAGCACCGATTAACTGGCAACATTACTATGAATAACCTCACCCATACATCGCCGCTCGCCTCTCGCCCATTAACTGCGAAACACTCACTCGTCGGTGAGAGCGCGACACAGGTATACCCTGAGACCAGGGACGGATGTGTTAAAAATATTCCGGGCTGGAAGCGTACAAGTGGATAGGTGCTAAAAAAACGAAAGATGCCCCTTTCCATAGGTTACTACTTCCAACTTGCCCTTTTTAAGCACTATAAATTTTTCTTTGATACTCTGGAACGCCAAAAAAACACGTTTAAGCAATTTTTATTTTCTTCGTTTTAAATCTCCGCCGCCACTGGATATATTTCCTAAACATAAGAAGCTTCTTGGAATAGTTGTAACTTTGTGTGGAAATTTTATCAAAGTCCCAGCTGTTCTTTTCAAGTTACAAACGAGCCAGGGATTAGCGAACAGACAGATCCACAGATATTGATTGATATTGATTGATTGATATCCCGATGGACACGGTTTTTCGTGATGTAGATGTCATCTAACGCAAACAATATAATATTTCGTTTTCGAAATATTCCGCGATTACAATACCATCTCACCAGTACCATGGAAAGTAGCTAACTATATATGTATAAATCATTATTTCTAAATCGATGGCTGCGATGGTGACACATATAGTGCTAACTTGCCTTCACTTAATGATGATGAGAAAACATTAAAGATATTCCGGTGACCAAGAGGCACTGGTGCGTAAGTCATTTATTATTATTATTATTATTATGATAATTGAGATGAGCAGAGTACACAGTACTATAAGCTCATGCAGTAAATATAGTGTACGGACACGTAACACAAATACATTAAATAGAAAAAAATAAAAAAATACAGTTCATAGCTATAAAGTTTGTACACTCCTCCAGCTATCATACTGCACTTTGAAGCTATTAACTGAAGTAGCACCAACCACACTTTCAGGTAAACTATTCCAGGTGTTGAGTATGCGGTTGGGAAGAAACCACTGTCGGACTGTTGTTTTAAATGGCTCCTTATGCAGTTTGAAGCTGTGTCCGCGTAGATTGCTGCGCGACAGATGGTATAGATGCATGAGGTTGGTGCCCATCAAACCATGAAGTATCCTGAACGTAACTATAAGATCGCCACGAAGTCTTCGCTCAGAGAATGAGGTCAGGTTGAATAATTCAAGGCGATCTTCATAGCTTGGTCTTCGTGCTCCAAAAGGGATACGAGTAGCCCGACGCTGTAGTGATTCGACGAGATTTCTATCGCGCAGAAGCACAGTGTCTCATACCGGGCCAGCGAATTCAAGAATTGGCCTCACGAATGCCTTGTAAATGTAGGCGCAAGTGTTGACATCGGATCCTTTGAAAGACCTCTCCAGCATATATAGAAGTTTCTTGGCTTTTGATGTAACGTGGTGAATATTATATATATATATATATATATATATATATATATATATTATATAATATTTGCCAGACCCTTTTGTGACTCTGTACAAGCTCTAAAGTCCGGCGTCATATCGACCTTCGGTAAAGTTTTAGGTGGAATATCCTTAACATCTTGGGAATCCAAAGAGTTGAGCTTTAGTATCAGCCTGTCTGCAGTATCCCAAAGTGTTACACATCATTCCGGTCATATGTCGATGGTGCCTAATCGTGTTGTGGCCATACAGTTGTGCCACTAGAAATCTTATGTTGTTTCTATCCGAAGATAGACAAAAACGTCTACCCTCAATTACGCTCTTGCACCTGATGGAGTCGTCCGGAGGTACAACCCTATTTCAGTCAATCCACTTCTTTACTATCCTTCATCCTGACTCTTTATATAGTCATGTCTAAAGGAGGCTTAGGATCAGCAAGCCTGTTCTCCATATCATTGCTTAGTTTAATAGGCTGCATCAGCTTGTATGTTTCTGCGTAGAAATCTGGCATCATTTACAACCAATCATGGTTGAGATTATATTGCAACACTGATACTAATTTCATCACTGTGTACTAGATGTCCATGCACCTTTCAATTATCTATATACAAAATGTTCGGAACCATTCATCATTCATTGTTAGTAATTGATATCAAAACTGATTAACCAGAAGTCAATGCTTAACTTTTACATATTTCCTTAATCACATTATTTATATAGTATTCGTGATCATCGCTGATAAGAGATTTATTGGGCATAAACTCCGTTTTGGTTCGATTCTGAAGCATCAACATAGAGATAACTTTGCAAGCTGCCCGGAAATGTAGCAAAAAGTATAGAAGCGCTGAAATCCTGTTTAATACACCAGAAGAGTAAATCCTTAAACTTTTCCATATCGTTGTAGGTGCTTTCTATCCTCAGGCTCAGAACTCATTTTATGTACAAAAACAGGTAACTGGTGTAGAAGGTACACATAAATAGCGATTGAATAGAAGCATCTAGCAAAAGCGCTACTATAACCTCCTCAAAGTGAGTGGCGGAGCTTCAAATAACCTAGAAATGTCAAGATGCTTTATACTTTGTCTCTCACGAAATTTGATCCGAAATACTGAGCACCGAGAGATTTTGCGTCTAGGGACTTAAGAACTTTGACGCAGTCGCCTCAGACGACGGAAAACTATTTGTCACCTACAGCGATGACAATAACATTTAAACTTGAAATCGGCAGACAACACAGGTCAACAGTTAATTTGGACCACATAGGGGTATATTAGGATTTTTAGGACCACTGATCTTGATGCCGAGGTAGATCGACCATCAAGGTCGTTTCAAAGTCATGA